AATATTAACAAGTTAAACTATCCTCTTAAAAACTTAATTAGTGTGATTATTTGCATACATGCCTTTGATTAATTATACGCAACAGCTGCCTATGACAACGTTTTTTCTTGCATACATGCGTGTTAGGCCTGTGACAGGTATGTTGGCGTATGCATGTCATTTTTTCAAAGTTATTGGATTTTTTAACCCAACAGCTGATATCTTCATATATATATGGCCATCCACTACTCAGTCCCTCACAAAACAACTTAGACACTGGAGAGCTAGAACAATGGCCCACATGCAGGTCATGGGAGATGATTTTTCAGCTGGATACACCCTCTTTACTGAGGATAATATTCAGAAAATTTATCTTGATCCTGATGTGTTCTTTCAGAGTCAGAGTCAAAAAGAGATTTCCTTCTCACCTCAGACCAGCTACACTCAACTACTAGATATTTACTCTGAGGAATATAAAAATGGTGAAGATCAATACGAGTATCGAGGCGCTGATTTGGGTGACGACCTTCCCAATGATGACCCAGATGAGCCGGAGGGTATAGATTTTTATGATGATCTTGACTCAGTTGGGTGGGAAAATCTCGAAAATCAAATGGAGGGATGATAAGTCAGACGAAGGAACAGGCATGCCTCACTCCAAAGTGACTGTCATGAGACATGTTCCGCAAAAGCCGGTTACTTTTTATCTTTCCCAAAAGATAAAGATGACCGACTTTAGTTACCTCTGTAAATAACCTTAGGGTTAGTTAACCATAGTTAGTTTAATGTAACTAGGGTTACTTTTACTGCAGTTACTTTGTAACTCAGGTTAGTTGGCTTGTTTTTCTTTAAATAGGCCTTCGTAGAAGTAAAAGTAAGGTTTTGCCTCACATTTAGATTCAACCTATCTGAATGGAACTGAATGGAACATAACCAAATTCCTCAGCAAGCCCATAATGGTACCCACTCGAAACACCTTATATCAAAATTATAAGGGAGAAACGATATATATATATTAATTCAAATTTTTTATTTAAATATATAAAATGTGAATATAAAAAAAATAATAATTGTGTGATCTTTTAAAAAGTTTTGTTTAGAAATATATACTGGACAAAAGATATTCTGTTAGGTATTGTATTTAAGGGTTTAAATAAATATATAAAATATGAGTTTATATAAAAATTATATTAATTATGATAATGTGGCACCAATATAAACTTTTTAATTGTTTCCATGGTACATGCTCTTAGGAAATCTTTATGATTTAGGGTGTTTTTGAAAAGTGCGGCATGACTATAACTGGGTTGCTGTTCATGGTTTCAATAGGGTTTAAGGCAGCTGCAAGGTTCGTCCTTCATCTTCAGTCTGGGCTTGGACCTCTTAAATACTCCTCTTTTATCCCATTCAGGTCATTACACTGATATATACGTGAAACTAATCAAGTAATTTGGTGGTAAAACAGTGTGAGGGTAAGCAATGAGTTAGGTGCCGGACACCCCAAGTCGGCAGCATTCCCCGTCTTCATTGTGAACCTGATATCTTTCATCATCGCCGTAGTGGAAGCTGCTCTCGTGCTAGCTCTGCTCCACATCATTAGTTACGCCTTCACCAGTGACAAGACCGTTGCTGAGGTCGTATCCAATTTGTGCCCACTTCTCGCTATCACTCTTGTTCTCAATGGGGTTCAGTCTGTCCTGTCTGGTATGTATATATGAATCACATGCATGGATCAAGTTGTGACTAATGTATATACGTACGTTTGTGTCTCTGCAATGTGTAATTAATTAATTGTGGAGCATGCAATTTGGTGGCACTGGTAGGCGTGGCTGTTGGATGTGGATGGCAAACCTTTGTGGCATTTGTAAATGTAGGATGTTATTATGTTGTTGGGATTCCTTTGGGATGTCTTCTTGGTTTCAGGTTTGATCTCGGCACAAAGGTCTGTATATAATATAAAACCCTCTTGCAGAATTAATCACTTTTCCTGAGAAAATAAAGATGTAGAGAAAGGCTTTGATCATAAAGGATTAACATGCTTTGAGCAGGGAATATGGTCAGGGAATATGGTCAGGGATGATGGGAGGAACGATGATGCAGATCATCATTTTACCGTGGGTTACATTTCGAACAGACTGGAACAAAGAGGTAAATCATGAATCATATGATGAGTTAAGAGCAGTATTAGTTGATATATTTAGATTGTTGGAGGTTTGATTTTCAGGTGGAGGTATCAAGGAAGAGGTTCGATAAATGGGAGGACAAGGAGCCACTTAATAAAAACTGATAGTAATTTGCAAGCAGCATTTTTAATGCAGAAATGAGTGTGAAACATTGACAAAGACCCATGGTTGTGTTACGATATAATACTGAAATGGGTCTTTGCTTAGGTGTCAATTTCTTTGTTTATGTGTCAATTTATTGTTTACGTATCTACCAAATAATATGCAGTTTTAGTTTAATAGTTGACAAAGTCCAAGTTTGTTACTTAGTGGAGATACAATTCCTTGTTTTTAGAGATAAGAGTACTTTCTTGTTAGCAGATCGTGTAGTCATCGTGTCTTTGTATTGTGCAATCTGTTGCTCTACATTTTCTATTTAAATGGGCACAGATCAGTTGAATAAACATCTTCAATTTCATCTTTTCTGTTGCACACCAAGTATTTGATTATTTACCTTTTAGAAATTTCATTTACTTTAACCCCTGTTTTTTATCAGGTTGAAGCATATTGAGTTGGAAAGTGATAGTACTTATCATTTCTAATCAAACAATGCTTTTTTTTTGGTACATATAATCAAACAATGCTTAATGACGTGTTAGTGATCATTTTTTTCTTTCAAAAAAGTTGGAAGTATTGATTATTGAAAAGGACCCATGAATGAAGCATTGAAGATAACTGGTGCTGACAACCCAATATCTACTATTCTTTTTTTTTTTTTAGTTGTCAACCAGATATCTATTCTTAATCACGATAATCTGCTACTACTAGTATTGTAAATGTAAGGATTGATGCTCAATGATTGTACTTGGCATTTTTTAATCAAATTAACTGCATTTGTGGAGCAGTAAGTGCACTGATGAGCAAAATATTAGTGTAAACAACAGTTGAAGCCAAAAGAATAAAGAGGTTGATGCCAGAAGCAGAACATCATATGGCACGTTTAATCGTGGAGAATGCAGGGTGCGGTCAACGGCGGAGCATCAATGGCGGACACTAGTTACCTTTCTGAATCAACAACCCATCACTATTGCTTTTTACGGTGCTACACTCACAATCATATGATTATGTGCAGAGCACAACTCACGGACCCACATGCCCTTTTCTACTGATTTTTTTGATTTGTCAAGGGAAAGTGTCCATAACACAGGACCCTAGCCACCAAGACTGCTTTACACAAATTGCATTTTTTCCTAACAACCAGTATTATAAAGACCCTTCTAGATCATCTATTTAGTTCTATCTCTAAAGTAGGGTTTCAGACATTCAATATGAATGGCATTCTGTTGATATATAGCTATTAATATGGAAACAACAAGCATTGCTACCCTTTTTTTTTTGAAATGTAATTTATAAAGATATATATGAACTGTAACTTGAATCATAAATCCATTGTTAAAGATTAGTAGAATGACAACATTATGCGTCAAGAGCCTCTGCTTTTCTTTTAATTTCACAAGGCCAAATTACTGAATCAGCATCTTGGGCAAGGAGCCAGCTGGGTTGGGGATTTTCTTGCAGCCACCTCTATGATTTATTGCACTCATCAATGACCTGAAAAAGAAGAAAGCATGAGAATGAGGTGGGGGACCAATCAATGATCAAAACCAATGGATTTTGCACCTGATTAATTAATATAAATAAGCAGACATCTCTCTTGATGGACGAGAGTGATGCCGCTCAATAATTTGCAATACACTTTAGCATATCTCTTGTCGCTTACTTTTGGGCCTCCTCATCTTTATAATAGTAGTTATCAATAGGATCCACATGCTAAGAAGAACTTGAATTGTATCAATATAATGCATTAGTTCTATGCAAAGTAAGAATCTTGACACTAGGAAAATGGTGCCCTTTGGGAAAAAGCATGCCGTTTGAAATTGTGCAAACTAGACCTTTGTCAGTTGAGAATCCAATTGATAAATGAATGGAATCTTGAACGTGCAGATTACAATTGTTGGAACTATGGCATGAAAGCTGCAAATGCAATTGTTGGGATAGGCCCAACACCTGCCCAACATCTAAACAGGGCTGTGCATAACGGGCCTAGGCTATCACCCACTGGCCCAAGTCGAGGGAGCACTAGTGCAAGCATACCCATGTTACCAGCATCACGTGGACCAATGGGATGCTCACACGTACAGATCGTGTCAGCACCAAGGGGCTATAAATACCCTCCAACTACCTCCGATGAAGGTAATTAATCTCTACGCTTCTCTCTCTGCAATTACTCCTTGAGAGCATCTCTCTCTGCAATTACTCCTTGAGAGTATCTCTCTCTAGAACATTGAGTATTGTTGACTTGAATGTCGAAGTGTTTTCCCCGAGGAAACATCCTCGAAATTTTCAGGTGTAGAAGCAGCTAAGGACTTCAACAGTGTTGGACTACGAGATTGCCTAAACAGCAATGAAATAAGATCGTTGCCAAGTGATGCTATAACATGACTATATAGTAGTAGCAAAGTGATAGTACTATGGAGTTGCCCATGGGCTACAAGTTATTGTAGTAGGTAGAAAAATATTATTCACTACAGCAATTTTGCCATTTAGCTACGCTTTTTTTTTTTTTTTTACCTATACTCACTATTTCATGGGTATAGAGTTTTATTAGTTATGATTTATGATTTGTGGATATATATAGATAAGTTATAGTTATATCCACAAAAAACCATAGGAAAAATTATACTATACCTATACAATTTCAATTGGTGTTGGTATATAAAAGAATTATTAGTTACATTACGTAATCCATAGGTATATGAATTTAAGATTTACTTATAAACATAAAAAAACCATAGGTATACACAAGAGATAGGCGAATCATGCAAATTAACCCTCAAATTTGTCAAGTGGTGTTAAATAAACCCCTCAACTCAAAACAGACACATTTCCCATCGTATACTTTTGGAAGGTGTTAAATAAACCCTTATCATTATCAAGCCATTTGAAACTAATGGAGATCTGCATCAGAGTGGGATCCACTGAGTGATGTGGTGCACTGCTGGACTATTTTTGATGAGCTGGCTGTTCACTTCAATGATTAGGTGAACAACTCAACAAATTAGCAAAAACTCAGTCAATTTTGGGGGCTAGGCCGGACAAAAAAGAAGAAACTTTTGAAACCCTAATTCCTTTTTTTTTTATTTAAATAGATTTGGGGACAAATACGACAAGAACTGCATATTCTCTAACCTTGTAGATGATGAAGTCTTAAGATTTGCTCCTGCATAACTAATAGGCAATGTATTTTTTGAGATAATAGGTGAATCTCAAAAGTTTCACTTTTTTTTTGTAATTTGCATAAATTGAAAATGTGTGAAAGTCATGACTTTTCTACTATAAATATCATGTTTTGATGCCCCCCTTGTCTTTATAATATTTTGAAAAGCTATTGTTTTTATTTGCGTTTGCATGTGTTTTACAGCAATGGCTACTTCTATTGGTGTTTTGACTATTTTTCATGGGGAACCTTTGAGCGGAGTCCACCTATTGACTATGTTAACAATGCAAGGTCAATCTTTGATGTGTATGAGGACAAAGTCAATCTGGAAGAAATTATAAAGCTTGTGCATGCTTTAGGTTACCAGGACATTAGAGCCAAAAGCATTTATTTGAAGTCTCCACTTGCTAAGTTTGAAAGATTGAAATCAATTTTATATGCTAATTGTGTTGCTGAGATTAGTAAAATCATTACTACAAGTGGTGAAGTGGAAGTTTACATTGATCATAATGACATGGGGCCAAATAGTGTAGAAAAATTAATTGGTGATGCTCACGGGTTGGTGAGGTTTGTAATGAGAGTATTAATGGTGTTGTCATAGGAAACAACACCCAAGATATTTTTGAAAATCATAGGGACATGGGCCAAATAGTTTACATTGATCATAATGACATGGGGCCAAATAGTGTAGAAAAATTAGTTGGTGATGCTCACGGGTTGGTGAGTTTGTTTTTTTTTTTATACAATGGGTTGGTGAGTTTGTAATGGGAGTATTAATAGTGTTGACATAAAAAACAACACCCAAGATATTTTTGAAAATCTTGATAAAAGTGAAAAAAGTCTTTTTTTAACAGTAAAAGAATAATATTTATTAATAAACAGAGTATAAAGGATACTCCAAACCCATAAACATCATAACTTGAAAGGCATCATATTACATGAGTGGAGTAACCTTTCGTATGGTGTTGACCCCTGAGTTATGTGTCAACATTACGTCCGTGTCGGAGTTTTGGATGTTTACCATATGGTGTCGGCACCAAAATTATGTGTCGACACTATACCCGTGTCAAATTTCTATCCTCCTTTGATCAAAGAGAAAAAAGTGTTCCTACATATGAATATTTTGAGAATTCTAAAAAACATTCTAATGATGAAGAGGAGATGAGTCATATGATGATGAGTAAAGTTATTTGTGCTATCTAATTCTAATTTGTATTATTGGTTTATATTTATTTGTGATTATTAGGTTTATACTTGTTTTAATTATTACATGCATCCTAAATATAATTGCCTTTACTAATGGGTTCATGATATTTTTGCAGTCTGGGAAAAAGGGAAAGCAACAGCTTATATCAAGAGGAAATCAAAATGCAAAATACAAGGTGCAAAAGGATAGAAAGAAGAAAAATGATTGAATAGCAATGGAGAATTAAACTTTTAACTTAATTTATGTTATTATAAATAATAATAACTATGATATATGTTATTCAAACAAGTTTTTGTTATATTTTTGGTTGATAGTTAAGACAAATTTTAAGGATGTAGACAAGTTTTTAATATTTTTTTGGTTAACAGGTTAGAGAATTACATGTTTAATTAAATATGCTAGAAAAATAAAAAAACCAATGCTACAAATGTGTTGACACTACCAGAGGGTGTCGACAATAGGCAGTTAAATTTTATACCTTTCACATTACGAGAAAACTCGTAGCAGAGGCGTTGACACCAAATTGTGGTGTCGACACACCAAGCAGTTCCGTCAATGTCCGACAAAACTTGCTGAGTTATTCACCTAATCATCAAAGTGAATAGCCAGCTCATCAAAAATAGTCCAGCAGTGCCCCACATCACCCAGTGGATCCCACTTGGATGCACATCTTTGTTAGTTTCAAACTATTGATGATGGTAGGGGCTTGTTTAACACCTTTCAAAAGTATTAAGGTGGGGGATGTGTCAGTTTTTTGTTTAAGGCCTTATTTAACACCACTTGATAAGTTTAGGGGTTAATTTGCATGATTCGCCCAAGAGATATACCTTCAATCACATATAATTATGTGTATAACACTAGTTTATACCTATGAATTTTTACAATTGTAAGTATATAGTCACTACCAAAAATTAATAATAAATTAACTACTATTTAATGAATGCTTTTGACTAATGTTTCCATGTACATAAGATCAATTTCCTTTTTTTAACAA